AAAACGCAGTCAGAACCCCTTCTCCCGCCGCGACGAAGAACCGAACGCGAAGGATGTGATGCTGCGCGGACGGTTGTTGACGAGCGCTGCCGAGGCACGCCGACCGCTGGTACAGCTTCGCAAGCGTCCGAAGGGCAAAAAGATCGCAACGACAAAGCACCGTCCCGAATGTTGAGCACGCAAGCAGTACTCGATATCCCACGCTCACATTTCACAGGGCGAGCGCATCACGAAGCGAAGGCATGTCGGCCTTCGCTTCGTGATGACTACTTTATTTCTCTGCTTACAGCGGTGACATTTGTAGTGATGTTCGAAACTGCTCTCTCGCGACCGCACACGAGTTAAATGAACGGCCTAGGAGCGGGATAGAGCGTAACGGCAACAGTCAGTACTCACCCCGGGAGCGGCGAACGAAGCGGCGTGGTGTCCGTCGACGGCCGCGTCGAAAACGATGGAATATGCACAAAAACACGTAATATACAGAAGAAATACAAAGCGCTGAACGAAATAGATACACTTATGAACAAGAAAAATACACTGGAGTAGATAAAAAAGAGGATTATTAAGTATAAACAACGAAGATGAAAAGTATGTCTAGGGCGAGGTGATGCGATTCCAACGGAGAGCAGCCAGACGACGGGGGCCGACAGAACACCGATCCCAAGATTCCTCGCGCGCGCGCCGGGGCGCTTGGGAGAGACTGCAAATGGTCTATTGGGCTGCGCCCTCGCCGTCACCGAATTTGAGCTGTCGAAGTTCTTTAGTTTAGCCCGTGGCAAAATAAACGCATACTTGGGAGCTGCGATGCATCCCCGCACCCATTGAAGGAACGTTTCATAGATATTTTCGGTTGATCAAGGAGCTCAAAACACATGCGCAAGAAGTGGTGACTTGAATATGTAAGGATGACTTACATCTTCACAAAACATTCCACCTTCAAAAAAACGGCTTATCACGCTCAAACCTGCCTCAGATTGGGATCGAAGGGAAAGAAAACGATATACCGGGGCGCGGGCATCTTGTAGAAGGTCTCTGTTTTCTAGCAGCGAGCACAAATTATTGTGTGCGTATCTCACACTACATGATGGCCAACGAATGTAGATGACATTTATTACGCATCCCAACAACCACATGAGGTGAGAAGGCAGCAATGGTGTGTGTCGATACTAAGAAGTTTTAGTGGATCGTCTTTAGCTCTTGGATAACCGTGCCCTACAACAATATATAAGCTATAACCTTTCTGAGAGCATTCTTTATTGAGTGCGGCTATCGAAGCGTGTCGTGTTATAATTCAACGTTGCTCTAATCGGTGCTATAGCACATGCTGCCCCTTTAAAGTAGTTTTGAAGCAATAAAAATTAAAAAAAAAAAAAATGTAGCCGATCTTTTTTTGACATGAAACGCGTTTGTAATTTGTCATTGCAAAGACATATTAGGTATACTGCCACTCAGTTAGCACGGACAAACTATCCCCGGCCTTACTAATTTTGTTTTCTTAAAACTGAATGATGTTTAGAAAACTGGTATGGAACTATCCAGCCTAAGTGGCAGAGCTCAGTGCTAGAAAATACCTGTTGCTGGCAGAAATAGTAAAAAGCGCCGATGTCGCGTTCGGGCTAACAGTACCACGTAATGCACGCATACCGCTACAAGATCAGCGCAAGCATAATATGGCAACGAATTTATTGCACAATTTGTTTTAATAGATGAAAGGTTTCAACAAATCGTCGCAGCACCTTGATTACCACATCTGATAACGAGTCACACTTATTAACGGCTTTGGCTTGCTTTATCAAGTCCTCGCAAGCAGTCAGCACCGCGGTTTCAGAAAAAGTGAGGTTCAGGCTTGGTCGGAGATTGCTACGGTTACACTCGTATGCTTTTTCAGTTCCCTCCCCCCCCCATCTCGCATACGCTTCTTGCTCAAGTAAACAGGAGAATCTGACTTGTCGCTCATCTTGGCCTTTAGCGCGACTGTTAACAAATTATGAAACAGACAAAGCAAACGTGACGTAATTAACTCAGAATTATAGGGTGTGCGCAATATTTAAAGGGTTCGAGGTTCCCTAGAGTCATCTTTTGTATTCAAAATCGCCTCCCCTCACCACTACTTCCTTTCCTCCAAATAAACAACGTAGATTATTTTATGAACCACCCGTAATAGAGTGTACTCGCAAAATGTCTTTTTGGCGCAAGAAAGGCCTAGTTTAAAAGTTTGAGCAATGAACTGGTCTTCTTACTGTGCGTGAAACAGCTAGCACGAACGCAATATTGACATGTTTACGCAAGGCCCATGCAGAATTTAGTGTATAAGAACAAATTGATGCCTCGTAAGTTGGAGCCCAATAGAAGCACTCTTTACCGAATTGCTTGTATAAAAATAACAACCTTTCAACCATAAAAACAAAACAACACCACTTTTTTGGGGGCCACCAAATTTACTGATTCACTCCGTTAGCGTTGATTGTGCAGCGGTATGCGTACATTACGCGACACTGATAGCGCAAACACGACATCGGCGCTTTTTGCTATTTTCCCCAGCAATGTATCGACTCGCACTAAAATCTACCGCTTAGGTTGGATACTCGCATTAACAGTTTCCTAAACATCATTCACTTCTAAGAAGAAAAAAATAGTGGGAAACACCGGCGATAGTTTGTTTGTGCTAACTGCGTGGCGTAGGGTACCTAAAAGTTTTTTTACAATGTCAAATACAATTCTGTATCACGTTAAAAAAATTGTCTGCTTTTGCCTTAGTTTTTTTTGAGACACCACAAATACTTCGAAGTGGCGGCCCGTGCTATGGTACCATTACAAGCAACGTTGAACCCTAACACGACACGCTAGACTCGTCAAAAAGGGTTTTAATATTGTCTTTTCGCTCCATAGCCGCACTCGATGAAGAATGTAAACAGCGAGTCTAGCTTACATTTCGTTGTGGGGTACGGACCGTACGGTTATCTAAGTGGCTAAAAGCGACCCACTAAAACTTTATAAAATTGACATCCACCCTTGATGCCCTCTCACGTCAGGTGGTTGTTGGGAATGTGTAAATATGAATTTCATACAATTTTGTTGGCCATCATGTTCTGCGAGTTAGGCACACAACAGGGCATTTTAGTCAATCGTTTTCAAAGGCCCGCTGCCACTTCAGGCGTGCGCTTCAGAGAATGCATCGAAGTGGCAGCGCGAGCTCCCGCTAAATATAGCGTGGCCTGAAAACATAGTCTGCTAAAGTTCTCCAATAATTTGTGCTCGCTGCTAGAAAACAGAGACCTTCTAGAAGCTGCCCGCGCCTGGTACATCGTTTTCTTTTCCATCGATCCCAATTTGAGGCAGGTTTGAGCGTGATAAGCCGTTTTTTCTTGAAGATGGAATGTTTTGTGAAGATGTAAGTCATCCTTACATATTCAAGTCACCACTTCTCGCGCATGTGTTTTGAGCTCCTTGATCAACCGAAAATATCTATGAAACGTTCCATCAATGGGTGCGGGGATGCATCGCAGCTCTCAAGTATGCGTTTACTTTGCCACGGGCTAAACAAAAGACCTTCGACAGCGGAAATTCGGTGACTGCGCGGGCGCAGCCTTGCAGCTTCCTAAAACCTACACCCGAGGGGCTAGGCTTGGTTGGCGCCAAAAAATGGGGCAGATTACGCGATAGGAGCTGAAGCTACCTCTAACTCACGAGGCCGCTGCTGCCGCACCCATCGCCCGTCGCTCAGAATGGGGATTTTCTCGGCTTATCCTCTCAGAAGAAGCCGGCGCAAAAGGGGACCTTTCCCCTCGCCTCGCCTTGCTACAATACAAGAAAGAAAGAGGGCGAGGAGGACTTTCCGCCAGGCGGAAGAATATTTCTGCTGGTCCCTCTTTAAGTCCTGGCCAGATACGAAGATAGAAACATATTCAGTGTGTACGATGATGGATCGTTTACACAGCTAAGCCAAGTAAAATGTCCACTCCTGCATATAGTTAAGATCCAGTGAAACGTTGCCACATATTCACTTAGACAATCCCACAGCCTCTCATCACACTGTTCTTTCTGAAAGATTTGCAAATAAAGCTTCATGAAGTTCCGCTGTAAAAGGTTTTTCTATTTCTGCTCCTCCCCGTTTCGGATACAGCATACTTCAGATACAAGGGGGAATGTTTTGCGCTGGGTCACGTTAGTCCGTTGTAATGAATTTTGTCTGTATGACCAACTATACTCCATCTCATACTTAAGCTACAATGTTGCCAAGGCTAGTAGCACGAGTGCTTGGCTTTGTCTAGCGTTTCATTTGCATGTGGTCGCATGCAAATGAGGTGCTAGACAAAGCCATGTGCTTGCACAACTAGCCATGGCAGCATTCTTTAACTATGAAACGGAGTATAGTAGCAGTCATATCGCACATCTCTTCAGATCTTCAATTCACAACCTGATGTGTTGGCTGGCACTAGCTGTAGCATTTCCTTGAACCGTGACAAGTTATCACAATGCCCTTGCTGTGCAGCTCAATGGCTGGTTGATTGTGGAGGGTGTGAACATGATTACCTTCACAGTAATATGCGGTTCACATTGTATGTAAGGTTCTTATGCTATTTATATATCTAGGTAGAACAATCCAAAAATATTTCAGTGGGACACATCAATTCCTAATAATTTTGTTTCACGTCTTATAAAAAGCTAGAATAGCCACAACTTGTCTACATATGCCAGTAACTTGGCAGTAATGTAAGCATCGGCCTCAAACTGAAAGAAATATGATTAATGTTAGCGTGCAGCTGAGGGAATTGTTATGCAGAACTGCAAACACTGCAAAAAGTCAAAGCTAGGTGGTTGAAATAAGAGTACTAAAATATATCATTTAGGTAAAGCATGTTGTATCTCTGAGAGCAAAAAGCATGAATAGCCTAAATTGTCATGCGATGTTATCTTACAAAAATCTCTATTAATGTTTTATTATGATTTTGACATGGTGTTTTAAATAAGTTGAACAAAATTTATTATTACAGATTCAGCTGGAGTTCCGACGCCAGACAGGGAGAGATGCCCAGGAGGGTCTCACAGCCTTCCTGGAGAGAAGCAGCAAGGCCCTCTATAAGCTTTTCTGTATGAAATCATCATCAAAACAAAAGGCAAAACAAATATTAGAAGCTGCCGAGAACTGCCCAGAAGAGGGTAAAAGTAAGTATCTGAAGAAAAAGTGCTATGCCTCTGCATTAATGTTGTTTACAGGTAGAAATATTTTCTAACCTTCCTTGTTTGCCTATCCGTGCCAACAGAACCAGCAGTTGTAATGCTGCTTACATTACTATAGCCTATGGCTCGAGCAGAACTTTTTCCAGCAATAGGGTATATTTAAGCACGGCTTGAGAGCAGTGCAATCTGGAAACAGTGCCATCTTTGTGTCTGCGAAACCAGAAAACCAAGCCTGTACAACCCCACTGCTCGGTGATTCTTTCATGCGACACCACGCACAAGCGACAGTGACAGATGCTCTACGCAGTTGCGGTGGTGCGGTGCATGCAGTGTATAGTTTAGGCAATGTTACGATGTTGTCTACGGCAAGGGTTTCTCTATCGCTGGGCCCTTAAGTGGACAGCGGATGGGAATGTGCACGCTACAAGGAGAAGGTGGAAATCTGCGGCGTGGGTCCGTTCGTTCTACCGCCACAGGTCCAAGAGCTTAGCTATTGCCGCGGGGGCAAATTACTGACATCTCGGACTACCTCCTCCTGAAGACAAGTTTTGTCATGCTCAAGCAAGTATTTTAAGGGGTCCAGGAGCCGTTAGTGCGGAGAGCACGATTGTTGTCTCACAGGTGAGGTAGACTTAAGATATTCATGTAATTCTGGAGCACATGTGCATCTTTCTGCTTGATTCACTTTTAGAAAGCCAATCATTCTCTTTAAGAACTGTGCAGCACGCTGTAAAGTGATACTGGGAACTGTTGGTGCTGTGTGAGCAACACGAGTTTGAGCACAGGCTATTGTTTGTCACTGGCAAGCAACGGCGCCTGAAAGCTTTGAGTTTGCTGTGACTCAAAAAACGAAAACATGCTCGAGAACGGGATAATTTCTTTAAAGGCTGATTTTCCGCTTCCTCCGGTAGGAAGCTTACGTTAGGGTCCTCTCTTGGGAGTCCTTTATTGCGCCTGAACTTGACCAGCGCGATAGGCCTAGCCCTCTGAGATATCGACATGTCAAAAGAAATAATGTCTGCCAAATGCAAGAAGTGCCACAGACGTACCCGAAAACAAGTGCCACGAGTTCAATCTACTTCGCCAGATCAAAGAACGATTAGACTTCTAAAAGTAAATATTCATAGGTCTACCTTACCTGCGAGACGACGATTGCGCTTTCCACAATTACTGCTTTCATCGAGAGTGCCTGGACCCATCAGCCTGTAGTTCCGGGCATTTAAAAGACTTTCTTGCGCATAACAAAACTTGTTGTTCAAATCAAGTACAGTGCAACCCGCTTACAATGATACCGCATATAACAATGCACCGCTTATAATGATCAGTTTCTAGAGTTTCTAGACTGGAAATGATCAGTTTCTAGTCCAGATACAACACTAATTTGTTGTAATGATTAAAATTTTGGGTTTTCTCATTATCGTTATAAGTGGGTTGCACTGTAGTCATGGATGTCAGTCATTTCCACCCGCGTCTGCCGCCTGTTGTTTTGGGCGAGGCCATTCGGCGACAGACCACACGGATTTACCCTGCAGATTTCCATCTTCTCGTAGTGTACATCTTCCTGTTGGCTGTCTGCCATAAGGGCCCAGCAGTGGAGAACTACTTTCTGAAGACGACATCATAACGTTGCCGCAACTATCCACTGCACCGGAACAACACAACTGTGTAAAGCGTCCGTTGTTTGTGCATGGTGTCAGCGGAAAAATCGCCGGGCAGTGCGGGTGCGGCGGTGTGGTTGTCTGCTCTCGCGGACACAAAGACGGCACTGTTCCCAAAATACACTGCTTCCGAGACTCGCGCAAATACATACTATAGGTTGACATGCCGAAGCTAAAACGAAGTAATGTAGCGAGTACCTGGTAAAGGTTCTAGATAGTATATTGTGATTGTATAACCATGGTACCATTTAATTGCAAAACATTATTTCCCAAGATGTTTTTTGTTTTTTCTCCAGCTCTCCTTGCCAACGGTGCCCTGATCTTGCTGCCATGCCTGCTGAAGGAAAGAAGCGACAACCTCGTGAAGAGCCTGGTATGAATGGCTCGGCATGCCTATTTCAATTAAATTATACATTTATTATTAGAGAGAAAAGCCCATTAGAATATCAACATCAATGACCGGGAAAGTGGAAAGTGATAAAACTTGTTTATTAATTTCATATAGTAACAAAAGGGTTCACAGGTATATAATGTACAGGGCAGGACATTTCGTGAATGAGTGATTGGCCAATATTTTCCCTTTCTCTTACAGAGCTGGAAAGCTGTAATCAGAACAATTACTGTGGTGAAATGTGATAATGAATGCACAATTTGTCGTTAGCTTAAATGAGAATAAGGTGGAAAACAGGGGGGATGTTGTGCTTGCAGCAATGAACCTTTTTCACATACCGACGGCACCAGGCGGTGCCTGCACGAACTAAAAATTGAGGAAGTGACCTACCTGCGCTACCAATCGATAATGGGAGCTACGCTACCAGTTTCTTCGCTCTCTGAGCTGCGACGCGTGCCCAATGCGACTTCAAAGAGGGGCATCCGTGGCGTCCACCTAAACGTCGTGTTTTTCTTTCCGTCCACTTCCTTTTCTGTGTAACACAATTATATATATGCTGAAATTACGTGTTCTACTCGCTGATCCACAGCCTCCTTCCGAATTTCCTTGATTTTTCATGCCGACTTTCGCCGTTTGGCATCGGGCGCTCGCGCGTGCACAGAACGCTTCTCGGAAAAGGTCCATTATGTCGCACCAGGCGCATATTTTGGGGAGAAGAAATCCTACTTTCTCATAACAACAAAAGCTAATCTCTAACATTGTCAACCCTGATGTTTGGGGAGGATGGGATGAACGATAAATGCAGAGCTCCTCCCGAGCGTCATGATGTAAAACACTACAACAATTGAAGGAATAGTGCTTTTTCGCATTTATAGGTACCCTCAGAAAGAGCTGCCAACCTGAAACATGAGATATGCTTGAGTGAACTGAGTAGATCAGTTTTATAATTGTAGTAGTTAGTATTTGAAACGAAATGGGTTTTAATTACTGTGAAATGAGAGCATCCGTCCATTCCACAATAAGTGTCTCACAATTTTGTAACATTTAGAAAATAGGCAAAGGACTTATCTTTGCTTATTGAGGGCCTCGGAAGCATTCACGCCCTAATTTTTCGTGATCGTCTTCAAATTTTCAGTGGGCGCTTGCTCGAGACTTTACGGTAGACATCGCAAATATTTTTTTTTTCCATTCGAAAGTCGAGGTTCAGACCAGCAAGCTTATATGGATACATACAACCTTTTGTGCTTTAATGTTTACTTAAAAAAAGCTGCACTGTGGGACTGTTTTCGAAACACTAATCTTGCGAAAAATATATGACGACATAACAAACTGAACAATTACCAGGGTGTGTGTAGAGACCTTCTGAGGTATTGTTTTAATGTCATTTGTCTTGCCAGAACAGCAAGTTTTGATTTGAAAAGTGAGCTTACAATGTACTATGTTTTTCCCAAAATGCCTGGATAAACTTTAAAAGCATCTCGGCCCAACAGCATTACCAAATTGAAAGAACTATAGGTTGTGCTTTTAATAAGAATAAGAGGACTAAAGAAATTTTTTTAATTGTGCAGCAATTTGCATTTTGGTATTTTTATTGAAATGGCCTTTGTCCTTGTCACAGGAGCCGGGCACCCAGTACATCAACCCAAGTATTGTGTACACTGGTGAGGACGCGCTCACGTCTTCAGCGTATGCGGTCAGAGTAGAAGGTTTGACCATTGATGCTGCAAGCCTTAAACAAGCAGTGGCATTGTTGATCTGCCTGTTCTGGGCTTTTAACATTGAATACTCAGTGGAAATCAAAAATACACTCACCCTTCTTGAGCGTGCCATTGGGGTTTCACACACAAAAATGGGCACACGTGCATTGCAAGTCTGGAGCTGCTTGTGAGTTCCAGACTTGCTTTCGTTAATTTATAATAAAGCTGTTCATAGTGTACCATCTGTGCAGTGCCTTATAAAGACTTGTTTTAGAGTTGAACGTTGTTTTAAACCTAAGTTAGTACTTTAATTGATGCCATTCTTTTTTTAAACGAAAGCCTTTTGATTTCATTGTGTACTCTATACTTTGAAAATAAACACATTAAAAACAGTGGTGGTCTTTATTGGAACGGGCACCATCTTCTGTGTTTTTTTAGAAACTTAGAAAGTTTGCTCATAAATTTCCACAAGCATTGATTAATAAGCACGCTTCACATTCACACTTATGTCAAATTGAAAGGTATGGGATCACAATGAAAAAAAGTTGCTCTCCTTATGTACAGCATAACTAGGGGTGTCGCGAACCGGCCGAAGTTCGAGTTCGACCTGGTTCGACTTTTTCGAACTTTTAGTGGAAAATTCGACGAACCTTGTATTGAGGTTCGACTAATGTGCGCATGCGCGACAGACTGGCCAGTTGGCTTCGGATTGGATGGTGATGGCTAGGGGATGAACTAAGGGCAGCGCTGATCGGTTATATAGTTAATACAGTGCAACGAATTAAGTTATTAACTTCTTCAGTTATTAGAATCAGTTTCTTTTAATTGTAGCTGTTCACAAAATTAAAATAATCCTTTGCATAAAATAAATTTTCCAAACCTAGACATGCTTGTATCTAGGTCTGGCCACACTGTCCACAAAGTCGAACCGGCCCAACCGGCCGAATCTGGTGAAAAGTTTGAAGGTTCGTCGAACCGGTTCGACCCAGTCGAACCCCGAAAGTTCGACCTAAAAATCCGGTTCGACGAAAGTTCGCGACACCCGTAAGCATAACTGAAAGCCCACAAATGCCATCGTTTCACCGGGCACACTAGGTCCCAGGTGCTGTTCTTTTCAATTTTCAATGGGAAAATGGCGGTCAACCGAGTTTTCGAATACATGGGGCTCTGTGGGCACCAGAATCCGAAAACCGGCGAAAATGGGGTCCATTTTCCCATTGAAGCTTTCAGAAAATCACTTTTTATCGGATCGCGCTGAAACTTTGGCATATGGTTGTGACCTCTAGCGCTACCTGTGGGCGGAGAATGAGCGTTCAGCGATGCCTAGTTTATTTTTGCAGTGAAAACAACCCTGTAATTTTTTTTCTTTTTTGTGACACCCTGTACATACGTGCATGTCTGGCGAGGCGCTCAAAGACTGTTAGGTTTCTTTTTTTTTAGTTTGAGCGCTGTTCGTTAGGTGGCGCGTGTTGCCGCCGAATCCAAGGACATCTTGTAAACCCTGAAATGGGGAACGATAAAAAAAATAAAAAAAATTGAGATTTTGTTGTGTTCGTCCGTTTTTTTTTTTTTTTTTTATCGTTCCCCATCTCAGGGTTTACAAGATGTCGATTGTTTACCAGCTCGCCTGCACTCTCTCACTGCTTACAATCCAAGGAGTCGCACGTTTATGTGCGACTCCTTGTTTTTCGTAATAAACTGAAGAAAACTGATGATGCTGTCCGAGCAGAAGCTTGATTCGTTTCAGCATGATATTATGCGTGAACCACTGAAAGGGTACGGCTTAAAACTAGTCTGTTGGAATATCCAGCAAAACGTTTCGTGGGACTTTCGATTTCGATCGTCATTACAAGTGGATCAGATATTAGCCTTGGTGAGGACGTCGAGAACGAGAGCTTTCTCGAACAAAATACGACGGGGCAAGTTAGCTGACGTAGGTAAATGTTAAAAATGATGATGTTGCCCAAGCCTCGGGTAAACTCACTATGTTTAGATTTCTCTGGTGCTTATTTGGCAGTCAGAGGTTTCTGCTGAGGGAGTTTTGTCGACAAATGTTCAATTTTTCACCCGCACACGGATATTGATAAACATCTCGGGGGCCGCTGGTGCGTTTTCTTGACACACTGGTATAGTTCAGCGTCTGTACGGCAACAGAGCGACTTAAAACCTGCAAATAAAGCACGGGTTGTGAATTGTTTCCTTCATGAAATAGCAGACGATCACAATTCAAGCTCGCGTTTGATTCCGTTGCCCGCGCGACGCGATTTCTATCAGAAAATCTACTTTTTTTCCTTCCGGTTCCGCGACACATCGTAGCAGACGAACCCTCGTCGTCTGCTCCCGCTCCCCGCCGGCCTCGGCGGAGCGAGGCATGACGGGATTGCATTTTGGCGCACGCCCGATTTTCTGGGTGCAGTGAGTGCATGCACGCGTGGGGTGCCGCCAGAGCTGGCAGTAATGCAATTACTGTAATGAAATTACAGTAATTTAATTACTTGTTCCAGTAATTAGTAATGTAATTCAATACTTTTTGTAGCAGGTAATTTAGTAATGTAATGAATTACTCCAGCGACGGTAATTGTATTTAAATTACCTAATTACTTTTTCGCACCAGGCATATTTTTTGTGTCGCCAATACACAAGAGCGCTTTTCTTTTTATTTTACTTTTTTCTTTTTCCTCTACACCTTTCCAAAAAACGCTCTTTGGCCACCGCTATGTTGCTGATGTTAATGCGGCTGGTGCGACTCTCGCGCCCGCTATCAGGTAGACATTTTCTGCCACTCTCTTGAACTGTGAAAACCCGCTCAGCGCGATTCTGTACCTATGTTTTGCGGTTTTGCATTCGACGTTTTCTGGCCCCTCTTGAAAGTTTCCGCTTACTTTTTCTGATGCATACTGCGTACCCTCTCTGTGTTATCTTCCACTGTGAGAAATAGGGCTGGTGAGTGCCTTCCATTCGAGCTTTTCTGCTCGACATTCTCGGGAAAAGAAGGAGGGAAGTAGGTCGAACCAAGGCCCCTGGCGGAACGTCCCTCGACGCGATTTTGGGAACAATGACAATTGTTCTCCCACCTCCCAGAGATAATCCGCGTAGGTTCCTCGGTCATCTCCAAAAATAGTTGTCCGGGTTGGGGTGGGAAACGGATCAGTCGCGTGCGTTCCTCTGTCCATCAGTAAACATGCAACAGAGAGTTCTAGCTGTGTACCATGAACTCTGTAAATAATGTAAATAAAGTTATCTGTAAAAGGAAGTTATCAATAGGTCCTTTATATTTAAAAGTATACAAAAGTAATGCGAAAGTAATGTCATTACTTTTAAAAGAAATTTGTAATGGTAATTAATTACTTTCTGGCTGCGGTAGTTTGTAATGTAATTTAATTACATTTCAGCATTTTCAGCAAAGTAATTAGTAATGTAATTTAATTACAAAATATGAGTAATTTGGCCAGCTCTGGGTGCCGCCGCTGAAACAAACTCGGAGAGTGCAACTACTCGTGGAGTGCCTGCCGAAACGAACTCGCTTTACGCCGCGAGTGGGTACGCGTGGGCACGAGTGCCGTGAAACGAACTCGCTATAAATTTCCCAAGCACCGAGGCGCACGCTACTGGTGTAGCTACACGCGTTGCACGTGCTGGCGTCTGCAGTTGTAATTGTTCTAAAGCAAAAAGCCTAAAACAAATTTTGCCTTGCACGCGCGTTCATCAAATTTTTCTGGCCGCGAAGTAAATGCAGCCGGCCGCGCGAAAGCAGTCGCGGACAAACCCCCTCGAATGCCGCCTCCCCCCCCCCCCCCCCCCCCCCCCCCCACCTCACATCGCCGCCGCCCCTACTCGTAATAGGTGCGGTGCCGGTGCTTCGAGGCGCGTTTTGGAGTGCTTTAGTGCGCACGGAAGGCAGCGAACGGGCGAACGCACTTGAGAATTGTATTTTAGCAAAAAGCTGTCCAGCTCGCTAGACCTTACTGGTATTGCTCCGCTGTCGCTTGCCAGCCGCCATGTTGCTTTTGGGGGTGCTCACTGTGACTACCTGTTGATTGCATGCCCTACGACTACCCTTTTGTTGAGAGTGTACTACTACTGCTGCTACTACTAAGCGTTTTAATGTATGAAGATAATAAAGGGGGGGGGGGGGGGAGAGGGCCAATTCTGGATGACCCTCTACTCCCGCAAAAGGCTGCTTGACACGTCAAGATCTTGATCGTATACCAAGTGTTTCAGCGAAGACTGACAAAAAATTCTAATGATTTACTCTTCGAGATAAAGAAAAAAACTCTGCGGGAAAAAACTGCCAGCTTCGGCGGAAGTCGGGGATTGCAGAAAACATACTAACTGCCTATCTAATTTACTTTTAGAGCGCAGCTCTTAGGGGCCCGTTTCCGGCTTGAGCGGCGTCGGCGTCGCCGTCGCCGTCGCCGTCGCCGTCGGCGTAACCGCGCGGTGCATCATGGGAAATGTCCCATAATGCACCGCGCGAGCCTCCCACCGGGGTCACGTGACTCCCCTGAGGTCACGTGACCCCCTCCTCGAGGTCACGTGACCCCCCGAGGTCACGTGACCCCCGATGACGTCATCGACACCGATGGCGTCACCGGCATCCACATCGTCATCGTCATCATCACTGATGACGTCATCATCAGTGACGATGACGATGCGGATGCCGGTGACGTCATCAGTGATGATGACGATGTGGATGCCGGTAACGTCATCAGTGATGATGACGATGTGGATGCCGGTGACGTCATCAGTGATGATGACGATGACGATGTGGATGCCGGTGACGTCATCAGTGATGATGACGATGACGATGTGGATGCCGGTGACGTTACCGACATCCGCATCGTCATCGTCATCATCACTGATGACGTCATCAGTGACGTCACTGATGTCGTCACCGGCATCCGCATCGTCATCGTCATCATCACTGATGACGTCGTCAGCGACGTCACTGATGACGTCACCGACATTCGCATCGTCATCGTCATCATCACTGGTGAAGTTATCAGTGACGTCACTAATGACGTCATCGGTACCCGCATCGTCATCCTCACTGATGACATCATCAGTGACGTCAGTGATGACATCATCGGCATTGGGGGTCACGTGACCCCCTCCCCCTGGTTAGTCTAACCCCCCCCCCCCCCCCCCCCACAGCGCCCTTCCCTACTCCTCCTCAAGAGCTGCGCTCTAATTCGGCGTTACAGGGAGTTGTAAGCGGCTTTCACTTTTTAGTTACTGGCTTTTCTACTCATGCTGCACTAGCAATTTTGAAGACACTTACCAGAGTGAGAGAAATCAATTTGCAGAATTTAAAAACGGTGCAACCGGGTTGGAGATATTCATCAACAAATCTTGGCATTTCTTGGCACGAATTTCAAACGCGGGCGCTGTT